TCCAGGAAATAATATATCACAAGAAATTAGAGGAAAAATAATTGATAGAAGCTAACATGTTTATTCACTGAGAAGATTCTCATACACAAAAAGTTATAAACATATGCCGAGTTTTATATGCAACTGTAGTGGCATTTTCAAAAAGAGAAAGTAATCAACAAACTACTTCCAAAGTAGAGATAAAACTTTCATGAATTTAATCAGATTTTAAAAAATATGTGCTATGTTTGTAGTAATAGGATTTTAGAGACAAGATTTCATGAGTTTAATCTGATTTCTTTTTAAATGTGTGATGTGTTTGAAATAGGACTTTGGAAAGATGTGGGACTTTAGAGGAATCCCTTTGATCTCTGACCTTGTAAAAGGTCTTCAGGCCGGAGGCAACATGTTTGAAGCTAAAAGAACAGTTATAATAAAATATACACTCCTTAGAGGTGACAAATTTTCAGTGACATGTAAATTAAAGAGGATTTTCAGTGTATTTCTCAGACTGACACATGAAGCCATTTGTGCCAAACATCAAACATCTCTTAGCTCTTTTCATGCAGACTTGAGTGTCATCCCTAAGTATTTGGGTATTTTAAGGAACCTGACATTGTAACTTTAATATGCTTTCGTTTTCAACAAATATCCAATCCAAATGTATTTTCCATAGTGGCAAAGAGGCTACACAGGATGAAGCTCAAAAGCAGGTATCAGACCTCGACCAAAAACTAAAGATTCAGCCAGAGTAGTCAATGATGACTAAAGTCATCTGCCTCAGTATATTCACATAGCTCCAGGTGAGCCAGTGGCACAGAAGAAATTGGTGCCAGTGAATATTCAAGAATCATGCTAACCTACTGAGAAGAGCCTGGAGACACCTTTGTAACTTCCCCACTTCCAACTGATACAGCTACAGAAATGTGGCTTATAAAGGGCAAAGAGACTTAAACTGTTTTATGAGCAGTGGGTTGAATTTTAATAGCATCATTAGGCCATGGTGTGTGACTTATTGTCAGTCTAAAATGTGCATTATTAAACAAAGCAAAAGCTAATAAAAGTATTAGGTTATAACTTCATCCATAGGTCAGATGGAAGAGTACAGCAAATTGACTGGCTAATTGTACTCATTAAGCATACAAGTTATCTTAAATTTGTAATATTAATGTGACCTTCAGAGGAAACATGTCTGGAGCATCTGAATAGCAACTTACTCTTCTACTTATTTTCTATCTTTTACATTATCATTTGAAGAAACCAAGGAGAAAACATTTTATCCCATAGAATGACAAAATAAATGCCGAGTGGTCTGTTTAAACATATGCCAAATAATGTTTACATAACCAAGGGTTTATGTGAAGCACTTAAAACTCTTAAGAGTAGGCCTGAAGAATCCATGAATAAACACAAAATCATGGTTGTTTAATATCAATAAAACTATCAAAATTTTATACTTTAATGAAAGCATTGTAAGAACACGGATAGAAAATTTGCTGCGTATGTTTAATAGCTGGGCATAGATGGATGTACAATGCTTATTAGATATATTTTGTAAGCACAGCACTAAAAAATTTTTTTTTGAATGTGTAGCAGGAGCTGCAAGGGGATGTAAAAAATGTCTACTTGAATGATGGACATTAGATCTAAATTAAATCTTTCTCTCTGCAGAGGTTTGTTTTTCACATTGATGTTGAGATGACAGGACCCAGTGCTGACAGGTTATTCTTGGGGAGTCCATCTCCTATTTCACAACCCAGATGAGCTGTTAGTTTGCTGTTGACAACGCCCGTCACTCTATTAGAGGAATGCTAGGGAGTAAATTAAGATGTCCTGCTTTTTAGCACGGCTTCTGTTAGAAATTTTTGGTAATGTACCTGTAATCAACTTAAGTGATTGGCCTTGTTTCTACATTTGAAAGATAAAGGTGCAAAGAACCAGATCTGTCGACTATGTTTACTGTCCAACGGCCTTCCATTCTATTCCACCATTACTTAATATGGTTTTAAGTCAACATTATGAGATAAATCATGTTTGTCTTGTTTTAAATGGGAAAACCCTTAGGTTCAAGGAAGTCCAATAATGTGCCTGAATGTTTGAAGTCTTAACTACAGTCTAACTCGAAATATGATTATTATTCTGGAAGGGATAGGCTAGATGAATTATAGAATATTTTCTACTATGAAATGCCCAAGTGTATTTCTAGATATGCTCACTTTTACGACTAAATATAAATTAAATGTAGTAAAGAGTTTCAGATTGTTTTAAATCACCTGTCATAATATTACATTCAAAAGATATCCCCTTCTAGAAATGAATAAATTGGATCAGTGCTTCAAAATGAGCATTATAAAGTATAATAAATATCTTAGTTTTGAAATCTACTGAAAGGCATTGAAAAGATTAAAATACAGTGACAAATTATAGAAATAAGGTCAAGGATTTAAAAATAATTAGAGGAGCTCATTATTACAGACAGCTTTCCCCCAGGGATATCTGACAATTCCAGGAAAAGCTGCTGGGAAACCAAGCAAAGGAAATCTTTAAACAGAGTCATGAAGAAAACACTGAAGATTTGAATTCAGCGCTCAGCAAAATTGAGAGTCCTGATAAACTATCAATATCTGGATTGAATAGACAATAGGAATAAGGGTAAACAAACTAGCAGGGCCATTTACAGTCATTTCAGTACCTGGAATTGGATGAAGGTAATCATAATTGATAAATCATTTACCTACTAGCTTGAAAAAATAATGAATTACTCGAGGAAGGTAACACCTTTCTAGGTCTTCAGTTTGTTTTTTTCATGTAACTTAACAATCAGGTACAAGAGGGGACAAAGGACATAACATGAGAAAATGAGAAACAGATTATAGAACCAGAGCTTGTTGGATTCCAGATAATGAAGTTAGAATAAATAGTTAACTATGTTTAATATGTTTAAAGATATACATGTAAATGATGTTAGCTTTGGAAGAACAATGCTTAAAAATTAAATGCAAATTCTGAAACTGAAATAATTCAACCAATAACTAACAGTTCAGAGAATTAGTAAACTAACATAAATCAGAAAAACTATCCAGACCGAAGCCTACAGAAACTATAGGGTGGAATAAAAGCAGGTACTGTATTAAAGGTTCTCCAGAGAACCAGAACCAATAGAATCCTATTATACTCATCTGTTTCTCTGGAGAACAGAGAATGAGTGTGCATGTGTGTATGTTACATATTTATAATGTATTCATATTCAATTCATATTCATAGAAAAAGTTTAAGAAACTGACCTATGAGACTTTTTTGGCCTGGATTCTGTAGGGCAGGCTGCCAGTCTGTACATTCAGATAAGAAATTATATTGCAGTCTTGAGTTTGAAACTTAGGGCAGCAGACAGGAGAATCAGGCTGGGTCTCTATGTTGCAACCTTGAGGCAGAATTTTTTTTTTCTTTTTCAGGAAACCTATCTTTGCTCTTGAGGCTTTAAACTGATTGGATGAGGACTACCTACATTATTGAGGATAGCCAACTATAACATTTACGGACTGTAAATGTGAAACCTATTTTAAATATGCATCTATAGTATTTGAACAAACAGCATAGCCTAGCCCACTTGACATAAGTTAATTGCCACTGGTGATAATTAAAATAGATACATTTTAATGCATATAATCATTTATAATTAAAGTCACACCAAGAGAACAGAAAAAAGGGAAGCAGTAATTGAAGAAATAAATGCTGAGAATATTCAAATAAAATATATCAAGGCAGATTCAAAAAAAATCCCTACAACTCAAAAAAAAGGCACAATTTTTTAATGCTAATACAGAATTAGAATACAAATAATACTAGAAGCCCAATGAAACAAGGGAAAAAAGCAACACAGAATTGAAAGAATATTTTTAAAGTAGTAATGATAGGACAACTCACTTCTCAACAGAAACTGGATGTCTATAAGAATTAAAGTGATATTGGCCGGGCACAGTGCTCATGCCTATAATCCCAGCACTTTGGGAGGTTGAGGCGGACTGATCAATCACGGCTCAGGAGATGGAGACCATCCTGGCTAACACGGTGAAACCCCACCTCTACAAAAAATACAAAAAGACTAGCCAGGTGTGGTGGCAGGCACCTGTAGTCCCAGCTACTCGGGAGGTTGAGGCAGAAGAATGACATGAACCTGGGAGGCAGAGCTTGCAGTGAGCTAAGATGGCACCACTGTATTCCAGCCTGGGCAACGGAGCAAGACTCCATCAAAAAAAAAAAAAATTGGTATCTTCAAGTATTGAAAGAAAATGATTGACATACTAGATTCTGTGCTAGGTAAAACTGCCCTTCAAGAAAGTAAAAAACTACAAAAATTTACAAAAAAATATAATAAGAATTCACAATGAAAGTGGAGTATTTTAACCTAGCCTCTAAGTAACAAAATACAAGCAGACTTTAATAGTGCCTTTGAAGATCTTAATACGACTTGTAAACCATCTGATAAACACAAAATGTGTATATTCATGTATGTATATATTACACTTAAATATACAAGTATAACATGTATATATTTTTTATACACACAAACTTGAAATACCTTAACTTCACAAAATATTTTAGGAACACTAAGACCATTTATAAAAAGTACCATATTCCATGAAACTAGTCTCAAATATTCAATGATTTATATCATTCAAGTTATGTTCCTGACCAATGTGAAATAAGTTAGAAATCTTTTTTTTAAAGTCACATGACTGCACCATAAGTTGGGAGATGAAAAATAAGCTTCCAAATAACTCATGTAAAGAAAATCACAGTACAAATCAGAAAACATTTAACGGAAACAAAGACATCAAAATTTTAGTAATCTACCCACATCTGTGCTTAGAGGTTTACGGCTTCAAATGTCTACATTAGAAAAGTAACACAGGCTAAGATGATTCTTGTATTAGTCTGTTCGTGCATCTCTAAAAAGAAACAGCTGAGTGTGGGTAAATTATAAAGAGGTTTAAATGACTCACAGTTCTGCAGGCTGTAGAGAGCATAATGCTGACATCTGCTGTCCTGAGGACCTCAGGAAGCTTGCAAATATGGTGGAATGTGAAGGGGAGGCCAGCATGTCACCTGGTGAGTGTAGAAGCAAGAGAGAAAATGAGGTTCCAGAATATTTTAAATAACCAGATCTTGAGTGAACTAAGTGAGCGAAAACTCGCTTATAACCAAGGGAATGGTGCTAAACCATTCATGAGGAACCTGCCCCATGATATAACTTCTACCAGGCCTCACCTCCAACACTGGTAATCATTTCAACACGAGATGTGGATGGGACAAATATCCAAGTTATATCAATTATATCTATTAAAATATTTTTAAACATTTAAACATGAAGGAAAGGTAAAATACTGAAGATTAAATAGAAATAACTGACAAAACAAATTCTATAAAAAGCCAGTAAAAATTGCCCAAGCTGAGACTGAAGAAAAAAGGAAATACACAAATACAGGCGAATTAAAAAGAATACTATTATAAAGCATGTATTGGCAAATTATAAATTAAAACTCAACATTTTAAAATATAAATTGATACCTTAAAATGAAACTCAAAATATAACAATGGAACAGAATATGAACTCTATTAGATTACATAATTTAAATATTTCAGATAAAACGTCTACACCTATGTTGTTTTACCAGTGAATTCTAGAAAGCACTTTTAAATAAAAATCATGCCTATCAAAAAATTATACCCCGAGATCAGAATAAAACCAAAATTTCTATTCCACCTACTTTTTAAACAGTTTTGAGGCATCATTGATATACAAAACAATGTATACACTTAACGTATATAATTTTTACGAGTTCAGACATATGCATACATCCGTGATATCATCACAACCAATGTAATAAACCTAAACCTATTCATCATCCCCCAAATCATCTTCGGTCCCTTTGTGCGTGTCAAGAAGATTTAACGTAAGATCTGCTTAATATTCAAGTGCACAATACTGTTTTCTAAACTATAGGCACCAAGTTGTAGAGCAGATCTTTTATATTTATTCACCTTGCATAATGGTTAAGTTCATACTCATTGAATAACTTTATATACCTCCCTGGCAGCCACCATTCTATTTTCTGCTTCTATAAGCTTAACTACTTTTATAATTCATGTAAATGGAATCACGCAGTGTTTGTCCTTCTGTGACTGACACTTCACTTAAAATGTTTTTAACGTCTATCCATATTGCAAATGGTAGAATTTTCTTTAAAGCTTAGTAACAGCCATTGTGGCGTGGGAGAGAGAGGATGACATTTTATCCACTTGTCTGTTGATGGACATTTAGGAGGTTTCCATACATTGGCTACTGTGAATAATGATGCAGTAAACGTAGGAGTGCAGTCATCTCTTCAAATGCAGCCCAAGAAATGAGAGAAAATATTTTCATATCATGTATTTGAAAACGGGTTACTTTTCAAAACATAAAGAAACTCCGTAAGACAAAGCCAAAAAACAAAACTAGTACTCAAAAAAATAAGGAAAAAAAAAATCAAAGACATACAAATGATCAACGTAGAAAATTTAAGAACCGGTCAAGAAAAGGTTGGCCTTTTCCTATGTAAGTAATGGTCGATATAAAAAAAGGTTGTATTGACATACAAATGGTCCATGTAAGAGGTTGGCCGGGCGCCATGGCTCACACCTGTAATCCCAGCACTTTGGGAGGCTGAGGCGGGCAGATTACGAGGTCAGAATATCAAGACCATCCTGGCCAACGTGGTAAAACTGTCTCTACTACAAATACAAAAATTAGCTGGGCGTGGTGGCACGCACCTGTAGTCCCAGCTACCCGGGAGCCTGAGGAATTGACTATTAGAAAACCTCAAATTCAAATCAAATGTAAGTAGTATTGTATTACAACCAAAATGGCTTTAAAAATGTCAATATTAACGTATGCATAGAATGGTGAATAGCCAAAACCCTCACACTGATAACTTTGCCTATTAAACTTTTATATGTAACCTGCTACCTAACAGGTTTATGTATATGAAGAGAATGTAAGGGAATATTCACACCAGTGCCGTTTGTAATTTGTACATCACATGAATAAAAACTCATATTATGTAAATCTAAGTATGACAAAAGAACAATTACAAGCCACATCGGGCAGAAGACATTTTCAGGACAAAAACTGATAAAGTTCAAATAGCTGTCATAAATAGAATGGATAAATAGCATTATATTCACACTATGGAATGTTGTAGTTCACTTAAAGATAATGTAATACAGCTACATAAATATGGATTAGTTTCATATTGGGCAAATTAAAGCTATACGTTTCTACTTAAAGTGCAAAATTAAGCAGTTCTGACTTATAATTTTAGGAGTTAGGATAGTAGTTACTTGTTGGTAGTAGGAAACGAATAGTGATTGGAAAGTGAAACTAGTTTTGTGTTTCTAAACCGTGCTTTCTTTCCTGAGTGGTGGTTAAACACAGGGTCTTTATATGATACTCCATTGAAATCAGTATTTACGTTTTCGTTTTTGAACACAGGTCATACACTTCACAACTTAAAGGTAAGTTTGTCAATGTAAAGCTATAGAAATAAAAGTTAAAGGCAGTTGTTACCTAATAAACCTGGGACACTTAGGTCACCAATTATTTAGTAACACATTCTACATGAATTGCTTGACTCCTCCATACCACCTGACTTGTCTAGAGTAATTTTGGCAAATGCCAATTGCCCAAGGAGCGCTGCAGGCAATAATTCATTCACGCCTTAATTAAGTAGCTTTTATTTACTTCAGAAATCTAGCCTATACTGGCTGTGAATACCTGAAATTCAGGTAAAAAAAAAAAAACCGTATCAAGCATGTAATTTTTTTCCGTAATTACTTGAAGCAGGGGCTAATATTTTATCACATCTCAAAGAGCCAGTTCAGGTTTCTGCGATTTTATGTCAAATTGTTTTCTCTAAAAAAAAATATACCTTCACAAAAAAAGCCGTTTCCCACCCTCTGACTTTTCTAAAGTCTAAAGTGTAGCATTCTCTGCTCTAAAATCTTATCCTTTCAGATTCCTTACTTGGTTACACTCGCTGTTACTCTCAGGTGTCTTACTGTTTATCAATTACTATTTGTCTTTACTAGCCTTCTGTCTCAAGTATTTCTTCTACAACTCCTTGCAAATAACTATTTACTCACTGCCTTTCTGTCATTCATTCAGAAATTACCTTCAGCCTATTGCGTCCGGAATTGGTGGGTTCTTGGTCTATTGTCTCCAGAATTGGTGTGTTCTATGGTCTTGCGGACTTCAAGAACAAACCCACAGACCCCCACTGTGTTACAGTTCTTAAGGATGGCGTGTCCGGAGTTTGTTCCTTCCGCTGTTGGGACGTGGCCAGATTTTCTTTCTTCTGGGGGGTTCGCGGCTACTCTCTAACTTAAGCTGGAGACCCTCACGGTGAGCATAACAGCTCTCAAAGGCACCCATCTGCAATTACTTTGTTCACTCCTGGTGGCTTACAGCTGCAGACCTTCAGCATGACTTGTTACAGCTCATAAAGGCAGAGCACGGAGCTGTTCATTCCTCCCCGTGGGTTCAGTAGTCTCAGCTGACTTCAGAACCCTGACTTCAGAACCGAAACTACAAACCTTCACCACGAAGTGCTACAGTCCACAAACGTAGTGTGCATCCAAAGAGTAAGCAAGCAGCAACACAGCTCAGAGAGCAACGAGGTGGAACCCAACAGGGTTGGAACTACCAGGCCCAGTGGCCTAGCTTTATATTCCCTTACCTGGCCCCACCCACATCCTGCTCATTGGTCCATTTTACAGAGAGCTGATTGGTCCATTTTACAGAGGCCTGATTGGTCCATTCTACAGGGAGTTGATTGGTCCACTTTACAGCAAGCTGATTGGTCCATCTTAAAGAGAGTTGATTGGTCCATTTTACAGAGAGCTGATTGGTGCGTTTACAAACCTTTAGCTAGACACAAGAGTGCTGATTGGTGCACTTATAATCCTTTAGCTTGACACAAAAGTTCTCCAAGTCCCCACCAGATTAACTAGACATAGAGGGCTCTTTAGCTACACACAGAGTGCTGATTGGTGCGTTGACAATCCTTTAGCTAGACAGAAAGTTCTCGAAGTCCCCACCCGTCCCAAAAGCCGAGCAGGTTTCACCTTTCACTGTGGCTAGCCAGTGGGACTTTGTGGCACCTAGCCCTGGCACTCCAGCAGCCCAGAGGGAGCTCGTTCCTGGATCAAGCCCAGCAGGTGCCAGCCAGCCGCGCCCAGTGTAGGCAGCCCAGAGGGAGCTAGTTCCCTCATCAAGCCCAGCAGGCGCCGGCTGGCCGCCCCAAGTGCGGGGCTTGCTGAGCTGCACTCACCTGGAAACCGCTGCCACCTGGAAACAGCTGCCACCTGGAAACCACCGCCACCTGGAAACGGCGCCAGTCCCCGAGCGCCCCGTGCAGCCCCATCTTCCGCCCGCGCCTCTCCCTCCACACCTCCCAGGTGCAGAGGGAGTTGGCTCCGTCCTCGCCCAGCCCCAGAGGGGTCCTCATCGCGCAGCGGCGGGCTGAAGGGTTCCTGGAGCACGGTCAGAGCGGACACCTAGGCCGAGGTGGCGCAGAGAGCAAGCGAGGGCTGCTAGCACGTTGTGACCTTCTCACTATCACCCTCTCACTGATCTCTTAAGTGTAGCAGAATCTGATTGCTGCCTACACAGAAATAATCGACGTACTAAAAACAATGGACAATTTTTAGTTATTAAAATGCTTTACATTTCTAAAATTTTGGCTCCCTGAATGTTCCTTCTTTCAGTTGGTTGGCAGAAAATTCTCACTGTGTTTCCTTCTGTTTTTCTATTTCCTGGAGTCTTTGTACATATTACTCCTTTTTTCTTCCCTCGGATGTCAGTGTTTCCTATGAATATCGCTTTTTCTTTCTGTGATTTACCAAGTCTCTATAAGAATTAAAAACGAAAAAACCTTCATGAATCCAAGTTAACTCTATGCTAGGGTCGCCCATGTTAGAGTCCGCTGAAAGAATGATTTGGATGCTAATATTTTATGTGTGAGGAGATACCAGGAAATTGTGGTAGAAGAGCATGAAAGTGAGGTAAG